AGAACATTTCTAGTTACTAAAAATAGAGAACAGCATATCTTAAGAACAAGAGGAGATACAGGCTTCGTAAGCACACCATTCTAATCCTCTCTTCTTAGAGATTACAATAGCAATGCTTAGGTAAGCATAGCGCTATACCTAAGAGGGAAATACGCTAGAGAAAGATTATAAGAACAAAGTCTTATAACTTTACAACTACCTCTAACAAGCTAAGAGAAGCCTGCTTGCGCAGTAATAGGCAACTAAGTAAAAGACTTGCGTACAAGCTTTAACTAAGATCTAAACTTGTAGGTATTGCTTAGAGTTTTTAACTGCTACAGCATCTCTAGGAGGAGGGGTTCTAGTAGGGTACGCAGGCACACTTTAAGGCAATCTAACATAACCTGCATATTAAGAGGGACTAGCCCTACTACCTTAAAGGCCTTATAACAGTTCTCTGCTATAAATATATTAAAAAACATATTCTTAAAGGTAGGGAGAAAGCCTTCTTTATTAATATAGAAGATATACTTATATGCTAAGTCTTATATGTGCTAAGAGTACTTGTACTTTAATAGCAAGAAGTAGACTATATTAAGCAGCTAGAGGAAATATAATAAGTAAGGTAGTATACAGAGGGTAAGGATTATGTTTTTAAGGTAGTAGTCCTTAAAATCCTAGCTAAGGTGGCTCTTATGGCTGTCTAAAATAAGCAGCCTGTACACCCCCACCTAGCTTGCCTTTGTATGCGCGTTAAAGTGCTTCAGCCACTTAAGGCCAAGCGCGTTGTTCGTCTAGCCGCTCTTGGAGACAGAGAGCTTCCAATTGCGTGGTATATCTGCCTCCTTATACTAGGCAGAGATGTGAACGCGTCCTTTGTAGATAATAAAAGGCAGGGTACAAGATCTAGCAGCGCAGACGCTCTAGATAACTGTTACCTACTTGCAATTACCTAGCTAAACAAGCTAAGGTTAATTACGTCTCTCTACGCCTATAATAACCTTTATTAAGCTAATAACACCTATCTAGAAGCTAGTCTTATTAAAGTTATACATATTGTAGTTGTGTACGCTGTATTTAGCTTTTATGTCCTCTACTAGCTTAAACCACGCGCTAATTGTCTCTAGATCCTCCTGCAGCATCCTCTGCCTATCTTTAGCTTGATTAAAGGCTATCTTGAGCTCAGCTGAACGCGTTACGAAGTGCTCAGCCTAGTGCTTGCCAACAGGCTGCCCACCGCGTACACCCAACAGTTTGTTGGCCATATCTGCCACCTTGCACAGCTAGGGCGCGAATCCTTGCGAATTAAGGTTAAGAATATATTGTACAATTATTTGCTCTTTAGTGCGCATAAGCTTATATCATGCGTTGCGTCTATTGTTAATATAGAGTCTGCCTCTATACCTAGCACTTAAGGTTATATGCAGTATGTTAAATGCCTAAGCAGCGCTTTAGAGGCTTTTAAATTTATATAATTAGAATGTAGAAAGGGCAAGATTAATTCTACTCTCTTGTTTAGATAATTGTATATCTTGTTAGTGTAACAGAGTAGGCGCCCTGCCCTCGAAATCAATACTACGTGACTTCTCTGCCTATACCAAAAGGTAAGCACAAGAATACTTAAGCAAGTATTCGTTGCGTAGTATAATATATATAGACAATAATAGTGCTAGCCAGCTAGCTTTGCCTCTAGCTGCTATGAGCGCTATGCCACGTGTCGTTTTCGTGCATAGTCGTTACAGTTAGCAAGGCATTACGTGTTAATATTAATAGTTGTAGTCTTGGCAAGAAATGGCCCAGGTGCTGGGTTGGCCTAGGTGCTGGGGGTTTACGTTATATCTAGTTAAAAGATAATATTGCAAAGGCAATTAGAGACCTAATAATAAGGTATGTTTAACACTCTAGCAGTGCTGCAGATACTGCGAAATTAGCTAGCATAGAATGCCTAGATAGTAATAATAACTCTACCTTCTGTAGTAGTATTCTGAAGTTGTTGTTATTAAGGCATATTGTGTTAGGGTAAAAGGCGGTTGTGCTAAGAGAAAGTGGCTGGTTTGGTGATATGGCTGGCTTGGTGATAATCTACGTTATCTATGGAGCCCTTATTGGAATAATTGGAAACTTTTCGTCTCTCTGGTGTAGATTTATACAAATTGAAAGCCTGGTTCGGTTCGTGATGCACTGAACCATGTTTCCGCCACGAAGCGGTCTCTGCGTTATTTAATCCGTTGAGAAGAGGCCCAAGGAGAAATACTTCGTACACCAGCGAAATCATTCGGTCTGGCGCCAATTGCTAACGCGCCAGGCCGACGCGCAGGCAAAGCTTTTCAACCTCGCGCATCAGATGAAATTGGTATTTGTAGTAGTAACGCACATCTGAGCTCGACATCAATGAAATCGATCCATCTGCTGGCGCGAAGTTTCTCGGAGAAGTAGCAAACATCTTCCGCACTTGGTTTGTCTGTGGTTGACGTCACTGTGACCACTCACACCTCATTACGAATACACGCGACAATGACCTTCGCAATGTATCCACATACTATTCCTACTTCTCATCGTGAATCTTTTCCTACCGTGCCTAGAACCAGTCGATCAACAATCAAGATGTCAGCCTCGAAGTCCCCTGCCGCAAACCCGAATATCATGCCAGACCCCATAAATGATGGCTCGATAATCCGCAAAGCGTTCTTGGCCGAAGCATTCGCAAACCTCTTCACCATACCGCTCATAACAAACACATCATGGGTGCTCTCCCTAATCCTCAACCATCCCTCCGACATCAACCCATCCTCCATTCTCTTCGCGCGTCTCTTCGGTGGTCTAGTAATCAGTGGCCTAACATCCGCTCTACTTGCCGGCTACATGAACGCGCGCAATGGAATTGAGAGCAGACGACCCACGTATCTGTTGCTGGGCATTGGTGAGGCGTTACTAATTCCCATCTTGGTGAGTGAGATGCTGAAGGATGGCGGACGGGCGGCGGCGGTCAGTAAGAAGGTTGCAGGCGTTAGTATTGGGATGCTTCTTCCGTCGCTGCTTTGGGGGATTTATGTGATGGGTTTCAGACCGGATCTGCTTGGCAGGTACACGGAGAAGGTGGGTGACGGTAGCGGTGGTTGTAAGTCTCACTGATCATCCTTAAAGACCAGTTGCTCATGGTGGTATAGATGGCTCTATTAGCTCACGTGACGAGTAGACTGTTGTAGGACATGTTGAGAGAATTATCCTTCTCGGCATGTAGATGGGAGATGTGGTAAGGTATCCTTGAGGTCTTGAGGTATGTAAACAGCGTATCGTACTCCCGACCACATTTCTAACTCTTCAAACCTTTGGAACCTCTATTTTGATATGCAACCGCCATAACGCCGCGCTAAAACAAATGCGAAGTCCCTGTGTCCTGCTCTTATGAATGAACGCCTAGTCGTCGAATCCACCCCAGCCGTCATCCTCCTCGTCCTCTTCCGGCCTGGCCATAGGCTCATCTTCTTGCCCTCTCCATTTGCGAAGTGTCTCGTCCATTAGAGCCTCCTTTGCCGCTTCCCTGACGACTTTCAGGGCGCCCTTCTTGGCCAAATTTTCAATGGGTGAAACCAACATCTCCAGGACTTCCTGTTTCTTCTGATCCTCCCAATCAGAGTTGACCTTTTCAAGCTCATCGACCCAGACATCGAGTACGTGGTATCGCAGGCCGTTCGGGATCTTCATATCGGTGGGATTGAGCGGTGTCTCCTCTATGATCTTGTTGTACTCTGTCAGAACTGAGGGCTTCCATTTCTTCGCGGCAAGATATTGAAATGATGCATTCATGTATTGACGGATGAGGTAGAGGTATTTATCGAGGCGTAGAGCTTCAATGTTCGTCCACTCGCGGGACATCGTGAGGAAGAATGCGCGGATGAAGGGGAGTGCGACGCCTGAGCGGAGGGTTGGGAATATAGAGGCAAAATCGCGCGAGAGCTTCTGTTGTAGAGCAGGCTTGTCTTGCATCCATAGGCCTAGGCGCTGATTAGGACGGGTCCTCTGCGGTGAGAATGGGTGACAGGCGCATCACAATTATTGCGACGTCTGACGTAAGAGGCATGACGGATGAGACGTACAGTAGAATAAGCCTTTCCAAAGCTTTAGAAGGTCAAGCTCGGGAATCTCTGAGCGTCCTCCGAGGTAAGTTCGTAGAGAATCAAGCGCATTATCGCGGATTTCCTTGTCTGTCGCTTGGTGTTAGATCTTATGAGTCGCAATAAGGACATACGAGAGCTTACCGCTCGAGGCGAGGTTCTTGATGAAGGGACTGTCAGTGGCCATGGTGAGCAACATAGCTTTTGGAGGATATCATGCGTGACGCTTTCATTCGGCGGGGGGGATTTTTTTCTGGCAGGCGCGACTTAATCGATGAGCTAGCGCCACGCTAGTCCAGAACCATTGGGCCAGCCCGGCGACACCTGATGCCTTCGACATGATCGTCCATGTCCATGTGCTTTTAGAGAGCTTAAGTAGTTAAGTAAAATAAAATTGCGATTTAGAACTATGTATGCATAAGACGCGCCCAAGACAGAACAGCGTAATTTCTCGTTTCGTTACAACAGTCTTGCAACATGCAGTACTAAGTCAAGTTAATGCTCAAGCTTTCATCTCGCAACTACATTAGCCAAACTAGCGTCTTAGATGCTCCCATAAGGTTCCTAAGCTACTGGCTAGTAAACAAAAGTCCCAGGATTCTTGTGCTGCACCTAGGTGGTGTGTCACTAGATTAGTGCAATTCGGAGCTTGCTTACCTAAGCTAGATTTTATCACGCTAGCAGCCCCGCTCCTTGCGATTGTTTACCTAGAGCTGCGCGCAAGCCATGCCGCCGCAGCAACGCTCTACGTAACACAACCACCTAAGTTTCTTTAAAAAGCTACTAGGTCTTCTAGCATAGACGTCTAGATTCTCTAGCTTGCTTTTAGCAGATTGTTAATACTAGAATCTGCACTCTTCTAAGAACTTCACCGCGCTGGCAACGTAAGTGAGCTTCGCTCTTTGTTCCCTGTACTTACATGGCGACAATGCTTCCTAGTATCATGTTTCGACGCTGCTTGGATTCTTACTAAATTTATGCTACAGTGTGCTAATCTCATGCAGTGCAGTAATGTCTACTATGGTAGTAGTACCGAGCAGCAGCCGGCATACACGTCAAGTAGTCGTTAGCAAGGTAAGTGGGTTTTTAACACGCGTTTCTACGTGTTAAGCTTCACTAACATGCATTCTAGATTCATTCTGTCATCTGCAACCGCGTCAAGGACGGCGTACGTACCTCACTCACCTCCTAGCAACAGGTGGCCCGTGCACGCATACTGACACCGCCTTCTACTTCGTAGGACGAGCAGTGCCTCGTACGATGGCACACTGGAACGAATACCTCGAATCCTCCTATAAGCTGGCACTTGGTCAACGAGTTACGTAACTGCCTCGAATATGTCCAAGACTACCTGGAGCAGCGAGAGAAGTAAGTCACCTGATCTTAAGGCGTATTAGTGGGCTAACAGCAAGTTAGGTTTAAGAAGATCTTCGCGCAGAACCGGATACCATCTAGGAAGCGCAAGAGCCCCGAGACAGATTCAGCTATCGACAGCCGCTCTTCATCATTCGATCGGCGATTGAAGCAGAAGCAGGATGGCCGAACACCCTCGGTTTCGAGATCATCTTCAGTGTCATCTAGCGTGGCAGCACCAACGACTTCCTCTCCAGAAGTATACAATGGTATCATGGAAACTGATGAGCATGGCTTCGTGTTCTGTCGATCCGTAAGTTTAATCGGTCCCGCAAACTTGATGTCACTAATAGTAGCAGGCATCTGGTTCAGATGTTGTTTCTGTCTTCATCACAGACTTCCCTACCTTGGAAATGAGACAGGCTGCCTACGAGTCGGAAGTAAGGACTGCTGCTATGCTTATACGTGCCAGATACGTACGAAAGCTAGAACAAGTCCCTGGGCCGCCAATCGAACTGCTGAACACTATTGACGACTCCACGCCGTCTCTGCGCTTCCGCTATATCCCTCACCATGTTCTAGGCGAGGGCGTATATCAGTACGCGGTGGAAACTGCAACAGGATGTCAGCAATGCTCTCCGCGGATGGGCCGCGATATTGGATGCGAGTACACCAAAAAGTGCGACTGTCTGGAATACGCTGCCGTCAATGAGGGTGTTCTGACAGACGAAGAGAAGAAGCGCTACAAGCGGTGTCAAGCTGAAGGTATACCAACACTAGGCCTACCTAAGAGGTTCCCTTATTTTGCCGAAGGGACAAAGATCCAGAGAAGTGGAACTCTGATCCCTTGGTACCTCAACTCTCGTCATCCAATCTACGAGTGCAACGACAACTGTCGCTGTGGACCCAACTGCCGCAACAAGAATGTGCAATTTGGTCGCAGGGTCGAGCTTCAGATCTTCAAGACTCAGAGTGGTAGGGGATGGGGCTTACGTTGCAAGCAGAAGCTGTATCAAGGGCAGTTCATCGACACCTATCGCGGGGAAGTCATTACAGAAGAGGAGGCTTCGCGCCGTGAGGGCACGTCTTCCAAAGCGAAAGCCTCGTACCTATACTCCCTCGACAAGTTTGCTGAATCTGAAGAGCTGGATCACGATCCCTACGTCGTCGATGGAGAGTTCAAAGGAGGTCCCTCAAAGTTCATGAACCACTCTTGCAATCCAAATTGCCGCCAGTACACAGTTAGCTTCAACAAGCACGACCCCTATGTTTACGACATTGCTTTCTTTGCCTGCAAAGACATCCCGGCTGAGACGGAGCTGACATTTGATTACCTCGACAAGGAAGAAGGAGGAGCGATAAAGGATCCAGGAGAAGACGCAACTCCCTGCCTATGCGGCTCTGCGAAGTGCCGTAAATGGCTGTGGACATGAGCGAGACTCAGGCACATCACGTGGTATCGGCAGGCACTCACAACGAGCCACTATGTGTGAGTTCTGGTCCGGATAAGCCCTGATCGTGATATCAGTCAACATCTCATCTTCATGCGGGGCGTATTTGGGGGAGGGTACATGCCGATTTGAGTAATTCACCGGCACCGTTGTCTTACACACTTATGCATCAGCGAAGAAGCAAGCGTTCGCATCACTTTTTTCCAGCGTTAGCAGTCAAGCTTCTGCTCCACATCACAAATGTCAACAGGACCAAACCCATGTTTTCGATGTATATCAGTGACTGACAAATCTCGCTTCAATGCGGGCGGGAAGGGCCATGGCCCTCTTCTAAAGCAGTGTCCAACTCTAGCATTTTCAACACCACCCGTACTTCTCATTGCTGATCCAATCGACATGATCTGCAGTCGCTCCTTCGTGCTCAGGATACCACAGCAGGCTCGCAATACTCTCGGTATGCCTGTCTGTCACCTTTGTGCTCTTATCCAGTATCTGGGCACCAGCTAGCGCTGACGGTGCAGGGTTCCAGATCTCCAAGCACTCAGTTTTCCATTCCTCCGCTTCACGCTGTGCAAATGCTAATAAAGCTGCGACAGCTGTATCATCTCCCTCGGTAACTTGCCTGGTACCAAGAACATCGTCTTCGACGACGAGGCGCAGGATGTGCATTGTGTTGCCTTTCACAACAGACACATCTTCGTTGTACCAGACACGCGTCCAATAGCACCACACACGTTTGCCAGCCTCGTCGCCTACTATCGCGCCCTTGATCTGTGGAATCTTCCCGTGGGCCTCCTGGCTAACAAATTCCTCGCGTGCGTGGTGCCATTGAATGGTCTCGACATCTGGAATGAGCGCCACCGCAGTCTTGCTGCCCTTCGATCGTGACTCCAAGCTCTTCCTTACGAGATCCTCATCAAGCTTGCAGAGCTCCGGAAGGTCCTTCGAATACAGTGGCCGGGCAGTGGGCAGGTCGGCTGTTGGTGTAGAAGAGCTTGCTGGTAGGGCTATATGAGATGAAGGAAACGGCATCCAACCAAGTCTAGCGTAGTAATTCTGGTCTTGTTACTGATTTGTCTATTCGCATACGGGGTAAATATACCTTACCGATATCGGAATACAATATTGTGAATAAGCATTCCGTGTCGTCTACTTGATGCGTCTGCAATGCCTTCCCTAGTTCCTTCATCAGTCGTTGAGCGTACCCCTTTCCGCGTAAGTGCTGGCCACAGAATACACTTCCGACACCATGTGATACCATCTCTTGTAATTTGCCGTCTCGCCAAACAAGTGCCTTCTTGCGGTAGGTTTCGCAACTGGCTAGCGGAAGACGAGTCCCTGAGTTTGGATCCATAGGATTGTTGGACAGTGCTGTGTCAATTAGAATCCAGTATGTGATGCCTCCTTCTCTCGTCAAAGCTTGCTGCGACAGAGTGATCTCACGCTGGAGGTAGGCAGATGTTGAGAGGGCGCCGCGCCATTCGGCACCATTGAGTTTGGATTGGATCAATTGCTCATCTTCGGTAGGGTGGACGAGGGCCAGAGTAGGCGAATCAGCCATTGGGAGGTTCAAGTTCGCGCTCATTTGTCTGTAATGGGACGCTGCTTGTTCGATGTTGAACATGATGTGAAGTCTGTTGACGGAGCTTTTCAATTGTCGCTCTTTTTGTCAAGCGCAGGGCGCACCAAAATTGTGCGGCTGATGGCAATGAAGAAGGCACAACATATATGTCAGTACGTTCTACACTGACTTGTAATCGATAACACTCAGATAAAGAAAACTCAGGAAGGCCGGGTGAGTACGAGGCGAGGCCGTCAGACGTGGTATATTGGGGGGTTTTGCCCCACGTTTTACCGTGTCTCACCGCCCCGCGCACGTCCCCAACCTAACATGTCAATGCGCGGATTCAGTCAATGCGCCGAACCACCCCAACGCGCACCTGCAAAAATGAGGCTGTAGAGTCACCCACAATAGCTATTATCACGAAATATTTTGGAGGAGTGCTGTATAGGCCTATTCGACAATGTCATTGTTCACATCTCTGTTAACGTACTCTATCACCGAGCCGGTCATATCACCGAACTGGTCAAAATCTCTTGGCGCGCCCAACTTATGTTGCGGCAACTTGAATTACTTGCTATAAAACAGTGACCTAGTGTAACGTAGATTATCACCAAGCTAGCCATATCACTAAACTAGCCATTTTCTCTTAGCACAACTAACACAAGTTACTATAACTATAACTACTTGCTATTAAACAGTAACCTAGCATACTAAGTGCTTATATTAGATTTAGAAGATATTTCTACACCCTCCTAGCATATTTATCTGTTGTGTCTAGTCTTACTACAGTTCCTATAGCGCTAAACAATTAATTAAGCTCCTAGTTAACTACCTCTACCCTAAGTCTTCTTAGATAGCTGAGCTGCTACAGACGCATTAGCAGCTACCTACAATACTGCTAGGCTATACTTAAGTGTGCTACTATACTAAATACACTTTCTCCTATGCAATTTTCTCTTAGTTATTATTACTAATTACTCTTTGAGCTCTTACACACAGGCCTTAATAAGGATATTTTTATATAACGTACTCCACAAGCGAGCTGGCCACCCAAGCGAGCTGGCCACTTTTGCCAAGACCACACCAATACTGCACCTACTTTGCAACATTACAGCACATAACTATAATATATTATACTACAAAGAATACTAAACTAGTCTGTAGTACTCTGTGTATCTTTACTGCATGTTCGCGCGTTGTGCCCTGTCTTGCTACATGTGCCACAGCGCCTTAGAGACTAAGTGCTCCTATTAACACGCGACCTCTTCTTTACCTTCTTCCTATTACTACAGGCCTTAAACTCCTTTAGAGTAGTTAGCTGCACTCCCTTAGCAAAGACTAGAGTCCCCTCTTGCTATAATTGCTTCCTTTTGTGTGATTTACAACGTGTAGCAGCCTTGTTAGCTGCCTGTAGGTAGGCTGGCGGATGGGTAGGGTATGCTTTTTTACGTTTTGGCTTATAGCTTCTTAACTAGCAGAGATACGCTTACATAATCTATTATTTAATAG